CACACACGCATACATGCATGTATGCGTTCATTCACATTCATGCATAACATAGACACAAACATGCCCATTCACATGCTTGAATGCGTATGTGTGTATGAACATCTGTAAACATACATGTATGACTACATACGTACATACATACATCCATACATATGCATCCACAGGCTGAACGTTTTCCTCTTGGGGTTACACATTAGACAGCACCACTGGATCCAATGGGATCCGTGTCTAGGTGTGTAACAGTTTTGTGGATCTTATTTCGGTGTTGCGCGGTTTTCATTTCCCGTGTGTGTGTGAATTCAGCAATGGATCCGTTTAAATTCCGGGAGTAAATTTCAAAAGCAATCAATCTCCTAGACCCACAGGAAACTTGATCAACGGGGCACTGCACGTGAGGCATCGTGCTATCACTGGGGCTGTGGCTTTGCAGACCACTGCTATGATTCTACGGGGGAAGGCTTTTCCAAGGGTGAAGAGTGGAGGAGGGAGGAGACAAGGGCAGGGGAGAGGAGGAGAGAGGGGGACGGAGGTGGGAGGGGGATACAGGAGGGCAAATGAGGGAGGAGGGGGAGAGGGAGGGGGGAGGGAAGAGGAGAAGGACGAGGAGGAGGAGGAGGAGGAGGAGGAGGAGGAGGAGGAGGAGGAGAAAGGAGGGAGGCGGAGGGAGGAGGCAGGAGGGGGGAAAAGGCGGGAGGAGGGAGGGGAAGAAGGGGAGGAGGAGGGAGGACGAGGAGGACGAAGACACGCAAATTGTCAAGGTCGGAATTTCGAGCGCCACAGCGGGCCCAGCCACCTCCCTTAATCGCTCCTATAACATGTGGGTGTTCGAGCGACACAGCGGGCCTGGCCATCACACAAACTTCTCCCATAACATACGGTTGCTCGAACGCCACAGCCCAGCCCGGCCCGAGTCGAAGCGAGCGCGACTTCGCAGGGCCTACCAAGGCTTAGCAAGGCTGGCCAAGTTTTAGCAGGGTTCAGCAAAGCCCAGCTGAGCTTAAGGTTTCGTAGGGTTTACCAGGGCTCAGCAAAGCTTCCGAAGGCTGAGCGAGGCTCAGCAAATTTTAGCAGGTCTTTGCAGAGCTTACCAGGCCTTAGCAGGGCCTAGCAAGGCTCGCCAGGGCTGAGCAGAGCGTGGGGATGTCTATCAAGGCTTACTCTGGACAGGGCAATCGCCGCCCCCCTTGGATCCGCGGGGGGGGGGGGGGGGGGCACGCGCTGTCGGAACGGGTGGTGTGGAGGGGGGTGGGAGGAGGAGGAGGAGAAGGAGAGGGAGGAGGAGGTGGAGGAGGGGAGCACGAGCCTGGCTCAAGTGCTCGCGTGGGGTCGGCCGCGCGCGCCTCGCACGTGGGGTGGGGCTGCTGTCTGGCTCCGACGCCGCCCTGCTGGAGGGCGCCGCCGTGCGGGCCGCCTGTCGAGGCCAGGGCCTCGCGCCGCTCCGTGGCCACTGTTGTGCGCGCGGCGGTCGCGGCTGCTGCCTTCGCAGCCGCTGCGCCGCTTGGCGCGAACCTGATGCGCCGTCTGTCGCTGCGGCGGCCACGGCGGCGCGTCGGCGAGGGCGCTGGCGCGTCGGTGAGGGCGCCGACGTCGACGTGCTGTTCGACGTGCTGCTGATGCGCCAGCTGCTGGCGCGGCGGCCGCCGCGGCGGACGGCGACGGCATGCGGGCGGACGGCTCCATCGAGGACGAGTGGGCCGACGCGCCCGCCGCTGCCGCGCCTTTGGCCCTGCCCGCGGCTGGTGCGCGGGTGCCCGCAGGTGCCGCCGTGGCGCCCTCCACTCGTGAGTCGCCTGGAGCAGGGCTCGGCGGCGAGGGGGAGGGTGCCATGCTGCCCGCGGAGGGTGCGCCTGCGGCGGCTGCTGCTGCTGGCGCGGAGGTGGAGTGCGCGGCGGGCGAGGCCTCGGTCAAGGCTGCGCTGATGTCCGCGTGGGTCAACGCGCCTGGAGCCCCCCACTTTGTGGGCTGGCCTGTCGACCGCCCCCGCGCCTGGCTGGGCCAGGCGGTGGAGGCGCCCGGTGCCGGCGCCCGGGCGGCGCCCGGGCGGGGGGGGAGGCAGCGGAGGGGTCGGCGATGATGCGCTTTCCCGTGGAAGGGGGCGCGCCGCCTGCCCCTTCCCCCTCTCCCCGCGCATGGAGTCCGCCTTCGGGGCGCTCCAGCACGTCGCCTTCTGAGGCGATCGAGCGGCGAGTTGCGCTGCTCGCGGTGGCGGGAAGGAGTCACTTTCCGTTCAGGCTGAGTCGAGGAGGGGGGATGGGCAAGCTCCGTCGGAAGGTTACTCGCCCACTCCTCCATTAATATCTCACCCAGAGTAGCGACTCACCAGGATTCTCCATGACTTAGCAAAGCTTAACAAAGCTCAGCTCAGCAGGGCTCAGCAAAACTTCGCACGGCTTAGCAAGACTGACCAAGGCTTACTAGAGCGTAGCAAGGATCAACATCATCTGGCAGAGCTTAGCAAAGCCGGGCGTGTCTTTGCAAAGCTTACGGGCTTGCCTAAGGGGTTACCAAAGTTTAGCAACGCGTAGCACATATTTCCAGGGCGTGCCAGGGTTTACCAGGGCTGAAGAGGCAAACCTGGCAAACGAATGGCAGACAGAGTTGGCTAGTGAAGATGATGACGCACTGATGGCGTAGCTTAGGAGTGTGAGAAGAGAGAGATAGAGAGAGAGAGAGAGAGAGAGAGATGTATATGTAGAGAGATGAGAGAGAGAGAGAGAGAGAGAGAGAGAGAACAATACAGAGAGAGAGAGAGAGCGAGATAATGAGATATATAAATAAGAGAGAGAGATAGAGAGAGAGAGAGAGAGAGAGAGAGAGAGAGAGAGAGAGAAAAAAAGAGATACAGAGAGAGAGAGAGAGAGAGAGAGAAATGAGAGAGAGAGAGAGAGAGAGAGAGAGAGAGAGAGAGAGAGAGAGAGAGAGAGAGAGAGAGAGAGAGAGAGAGAGATAAGAGAGAGAGAGAGGGAGATAGAGATAACCAGCAAACAAAAAAACATACGACAAACAACAATACATGCTAATGATGAAAGGAATGGGGGAGACTACGGATAAACTCCTCTGGAGCCCAGGGGTACTCCACAATTTTCTGGCGTCGCCGTTTTGGGGACCTCTTGGGACGTCTTCGGCGCCCTCTGTGGGCTGACTCGGAACCCTCTTGGGCGGCCGTGGGGCCCTCTGGAGGGCTGGTTGATCCGTCTTGGGGCAGTCTTGGTGGCCCAAGAGGGCCTCCAGAGTCGCAGGCCTAGAGGTTGACACCAACACCAATATCGGCGGTGTTCCTCCACCGTGGGAAGAAGATCCCGATCTCGGTGATGGTGGTAATATTCTGGCTTCCAAGGTGACCGAAATATTACCACCAACACCGAAATCGAGGATCGCCTCCCCCCTGGTGGAGGCACCCCCCTGTGTTGGTGTTGGTGCCCATTTCTAGGCCTCCTACAAAGGGAGACCCAGAACGGACGAAGAGAGCCCCTCGACGGCCCAAGACGGCCAGGATCATTGAGCGTTGACGTTGGCTCCCAGCGCCAGGTTCCTGCGATGCTGTCCGGCTGTCTTCCAGAGCGAGCAAGGCCCCCATCGGCCTGCAGCGCGTGCTTGAGCAAGGGCAGTGCCCTGCCCACACCGTCGCGTCGGCTTGGCCGCGCCGGTCTTGGCCAATTCCAGGGCCCACATCTCCGACGTCCTGCTGTTATCATTTTTTGTTTCTTTTGTTTCTTCTGGATTTCGGCACTCGGGTGCCATTTTCGGGCCTCAGGGCCATCAAACCCTTGGGGAGGCGGTCGGGAGCTCTGGTGACTGCTTCGGATTACAGAAATCATATCGGCAGATTCCAGGGGGTCTGCGTCGATTTCACCGCTAGGGGGGCTTTCCCGGACAACTAAGGAAATTCAGCCTTTGCAAGGTTCCGGCTTCCTTACCCAAAGAGACCTCGTTCGACACCTCCACCGTGCCCCGCATAGGTCTTCCAGTAACGGTTGATCTCTGCCGCCTTGCAGTTGGGACTTGTTTATTTTATTGGCGCTTCCCATGATGTGCTACCCAGACGATGGCGACCGTCAAGACGAACGGGGAATCATATACGACGTTTTTGCGGGAGGGTGGCAATGTCTGCGGCGGCGCGAGCGGCGACGGCGACCGCGGCAGCGTCAGCTACGGTGGTGGGCACGGCGCCAGTGGCAGCAGCAGCAGCAGCATCAGCAGTCATGGTAGCCAGCGGCAGTGGCGCAAGCGGCTGTGGTGGCGGCCCCGCTGGCGGCGGCAGCTGCGCAGCCATAGCGATGGCACGTTCGACAGCAGCGACAGCTTCGCAAGGCGGCTGCGTCGGTCGAGGCAGAGCCAGGAGTAGCCGCGAGGGCGGTGGCAGAACCGGCGGGCAGGCAATGCGCACCCGGACACGCAGGAGTGAGGCGTCGACGCGCGCGGGCCAACCGCGCGCGGCGAGCTCGCAGACCGTTCAACTCGTTGTGTTTTACCCGGAATGCATGAGTGCAGCAGCTTGGACGTTCTCGCAGATGAGCTTCTTCTCGTGCTGCTCCTCGTGGCGCTGCCTCTGCGAGCAAGCCAGCCCTGCTGGGCGCGCTTTCTCTCTGTGGCCCAGCGCCCATGCCAGCTCACCGTTGGAAGCACGGGGAAGCCATGCGTTCTGCATCACCGAGGCCGGTCGCGAGGTTCTTCTGCCTGTGTCGCCCAGGGTGCCCTGCGCTGCTCGAGTTTTACCAGCCTCGAACGTATCCCTATCCCTAAGGTTGACACGCCAAAAGGCGATGACAATCTGGGGGATTCGCCAAAAAATAAGGGAATCCCTAAGATGGGCATCGTGATGAGGAGGTGCCCAGCATAGGGATGGGGATGTGTTCCAGGCTGGTAGGAGTTCCGAGAAAGGCTGCCTGCAGGCGCAAGAGGGCTCTGGAGGCCGCAGGTGCCGGCGTGCAGAGCGCAGTCCGGAGCGCAGTGCCCGGGGGCTGCCGGCACGGCTCTTCCCTCTGCCGGCGACGCGGCGCGCCACGGTCCCGAGAGGACCAGGTACGGGAAGCGAGCGCTCCGCTCGGCTCCGGGAGCCTTCGGGGGGCGTGCCCGCAGGGTCCCTTTCCCATGCCGTTTCTGGCCTGCCCGCTCCGATTCGGTTCCAATATATATATATATATATATATATATATATATATATATATTGCGACGATCCGACGTGGCCCGGCGCCTGCACGGCGTTGTTGCACATGCTGGCGCAGCCGATTCGATTCGATCTCGATTCCCCGCCGATGCAGCCCGCAGCATGTCGCGAATTGATCCGATCTGGCAAGAATCGATGCTGACTCATCCTGGCCCCCCTGCAGCGTGGCCCCAAACGTGTCCTGTGTCAGGTGAGCGACGCCAGAAAAACGGGGCCAATTGCGCCGACAGTCGCGCGCAAGCTTGCGGCGTCAGGCCGCCTGTGAGTGCCGTCGTTTCCAGTGTGGCGTACCCTGCTGGCGGTTCGCGTGAGCCACCGCGTAAGGTCGCTGTGCCAATCCCGCGTAAGACTCTGAAGATTAGTTGCCAGGTTGGGAGGACGGGGTTGGGAGAAATGCTCAGATCATCAGTATTATATTATCGCGTATGCTGAATGTGCTCAACTTACACAGTCTTGCCCGACGCTAACGGCGATGCATCAAACGGCGATGTAGGTTCCGGCATTGTGGGCGGGGGTGCTGCGTGGCCAACCCAACGACAGGAAAACGCTGCTCGTGCTTCCCTGCACTCTGTCCTGCGCGAGTTCGGCGCCGCGAAGACCAGATCCCCAGCACTGCCGTGAGCCAACACCGCCGGGCGACGAGGCCTGCACGTACCCGCCGCTCCCTGGGGACGGGCCCGCCCTGGACCCGGGAGCCGTGTTAAAACGACGCGAAGATCGGGACAAAATCGGATCGGGATACCTCGAAATCTCTGAGAAGCGGCGGGTCTGGAGGACGTATAGGGCGCCGCGGCCGCTCCAGAGCGCTCCGGAACGCTCCGAGAGCGCTCCGGGACGCTCTGGAGCGATCCATCGTGTGCGCCCGCCCGCCGGGCCAAGCCGGGAGGGCGCGGGGCGTCTGCGCCGCTGGCAGGGCCCGGGACGCGGGCCCGGCCGGGGCGCAGCGGCTGCGGCTCCCAGACCCCCGACGTCATGATTTTTTCATGACGCGACCCCCAGAGGTCCCGACCCCTTCCCTGGGACCGGTTTTTCGTCCTGAGTCGTTTTTTGACGGTCCCGAGGCCCGGCGAGGGCCCCCGGAGGCCGAAAATGGCAAAAAGCCTCCCGCCGTGACTTTTTCATGGCGCGAGGGGGTCGGGGCTCCTCGCCGCCCCGCCTCGCCGCCGGCGTGCACCCCCTCGGCGGGCGCCCCGCCGCGCGCCATGGCGCCCAAGGGCGCCAAGCGCCGGCCGGCCGCCGCCCCCGCCGGCGGCGGCGAGGGGCCGGCGGCGAAGGCGCCGAGGGCGCCGCGGCCGCGGCGAGGGGCGGCCGAGGCGCCCGCCGCCGCGGGGCAGGCGGCCGCCGCCGCCCGTCTGGCCGGCGCGCTCGCCGAGGAGGGCTGGAGGCCCAGGGCTCCTGGAGCGGAGGAGAGACGACGGTGTAGGCTCGGAGGTGGAGGGATCTCCTGCGCCCTGACACGTCGATTCGGGAGTTGGTTGTTAACGTCGGGCCGGGCGAAAGGGGGGGATTGGGAAAGGGGGGGTTACGAAATGTGCTGCATGCAGCCGGTTTCGGCCTCATCGAGGGGCCCATTCCTCGATACTTGGGCGCCTCCCGGCGCCGGGAGGCGCCGGGAAAATCAGCTACGTGAGCTGATTCTCAACCCCCCCCTTGCTATCCCCCCCTTTCGCCCGACCCGATAACGGCTCGCGAGAGGGCGTCGCGGCCGTCGTTCTTGCGGGTCCAGGTCCGTCGGGTTCGGTCCCAGGCCGCTTGCACTCAGGGGAGGTTTGCGGAAGGGAGGTCTCTCCACCGCCGAGGTATAGACGTTTGGTGGGTGGATCCCTCAAGCTCGCCGCCGCCTCTGGCGGTGTGCGATGCGAGCAGGAGCGCAGCAGAGCCACGGGAGAGCGCGGCATGGACGGTGCAGCTCCCCGCACACGTGACACGCGTGAGAACGAGCAAGAGCACAGCAAAGCCCCAGGAGAGCGAGGCTCGACAGTGTAGCTCAACATTGACACGGTGGTGGCCGGGGAGCCCCCGCGACATGTCCGCGACGCTCCGCGCGGATTTCTTGGATCTGCGCTGGCGCACTCCGCGCGCCAGGGGGGTCCAGCGCAGATCCTGGAAATCGGCTCGGACCGCCAGACGTTTGGGTGTTGTGCAGCTTTTTGTTGTTCCTCTACTCGAGCCAGGGATCGGCGGCGAGCGGGGGGGGGGGAGGGACAGCGGCGGGCCTTCTCAGAGGCCCTTCCAGCTCTCTGAGAAGCTATGTTTGTCTCCTCGGGGAAGGCTCAGAAAACTCCTCGGACGGCCGGGGGACTTCCGAGCCCTCTGAGAGGGCCCGCCCCTTCTCACTTCCCCCCGTGGGCTCGCTTCCGAACGGGATCGACTCGGCGTAAACGTGACCCTTCGCCGGAGTGACCTCTGGTGCGGGCCCTTTTGGGGTCCCCCGATCGCCGGGCGCGACGCGATGGCAGCGACTTGCGCGCTCGTGTTGGCCCCCCCGCGGCCCCAAAGAGACCGCGCACCGACGGTCACCCTCACCCAGGGCCACTCCTGCGCGTGGCCGACAGACCCCCATCGAGCCATGGAAGGACGAAGCACGGTGTGACATGGGCGTCTCCGCCGTCGGGGGCGTCTGCCCCGGGGCGGTCAGAGAGTCTGCGCCCCTGCAGTGGCACGTCGGGGTGTAGACTCTCCAGCCGCCCTGCGGCGGAGGAGGAGGAGGAGGAGGAGGAGGAGGAGGGGGAGGAGGAGGGGGAGGGGGAGGAGGAGGAGGAGGAGGAGGACCGGGCAGGCGTCCCCGACGGCGGACCAGCTTCTTTCATGCCGCTCCTCGCCGGCCGAAGGCCACGACGGCAGGTTTCTCTTGGCTGTCTTCGGCCTCCAGTTGGGCCGTTCTCCGGGCCTCGGGTGGCCGTTGAGCAACGACTCGTAGGGCGAGGGGCTGGTCCCCGGGCAGGGGTCGAGACCTCTTTGGCGGTCGACGTTGTACGAGCACGTCGCGGCGTCGGGGGCCCGAGGGGGGGCACCGCCGGCGAAATCCGAACCCCGTCCTCGCCGATCAAGGATGCGGGCACCTCGGTGGGGCGGCGGGGGTCTTCAATTTTTTTTAGGGAAACATGAAATTCAAATTTTCCAATTTTTATTAGGGCTTTTGGATTAGAGGGTTCGGAGTTCGTCGAACATGCGGCGAAATCCGAACCCTATAGCCCCGCCACCCAAGGCAAGCCCTGGCCGACGAGTTCGGCAAGGCTCCGGGGCCCCCAAGCGGTGCGGCGACCACACCGCGTGGTGAGTCGGTGGGCTCGATGTCGACCGCATTTGGCCCCTCCTCCTGCTCATCCTCGCCCTTCCTGTTCCCCGTCCCCCTCCTCGTTCTTCTCCTCTCCCCAGTGAAGGGGCCAATCCTGTCCACATCCGGTCCAAATCCGGTCTTAAGTGTATGCAGGTTCCGGGTCAGACCAGGCCCACATCGGACCGCGCCAGGGGCCACGCAGGCTCCCATGCAACGGACACCAAAAGTGGGGGTTCGGGGTCACCGCACGGTTTCGGGACTCATGCGACTGGGGCCCCAAGGTTCCAAAACCTTGCGGCGACGGGCCGCGCGGTGAAGTAGTTTGGGATTTGGAGGTCACCGCGCGGTCTGTCGCCGTACGCTCCTGGGGCCCCCGCGAGGCGTACTTTGCAGACGTGGCGGAGTTTGTGGAGAGGGAGCGCTCGGCTGGGCCAGTGCACCCCCCCGCGGACCAGGTGTTCGCTGCGCTCAACGCGACGCCGCTCAGCAAGGTGAAGGCCGTCATCCTCGGCCAGGACCCGTATCACGAGCCGGGCCAGGCTCACGGCATGTGCTTCAGCGTTCCGAGAGGGATTCCGACGCCCCCGAGCCTGAAGAACATGTACAAGGAGCTGGAGCAGGACCTGGATACGAAAAAAACGCCATACACATAAACTTTTGGCGCTCCGCGCGGATTTCTTGCATCTGCGCTGGGCACCCCTGGGCGGCGCCTCTGGCGCCTCTCCCGGCGCGCTCCGCGCGCCAGTCGGGGGGGTCCAGCGCAGATCCAAGAAATCCGCGCGGAGCGCCAAAAGTTAATGTTTATCACGTTTTCTCTTCTTCTGAGGACGTCCCTGGCTTCAAGGCCCCTGCGCACGGGGACCTCTCGCGATGGGCCGAGCAGGGCGTGCTGCTGCTGAACGCAACCCTGACGGTCAGGGAAGGCCATAAGGAGGCCAACTCCCACTCCAAGTGTGGCTGGCAGCGCTTCACCGACGAGGTGATCAGGGTCGTGAACGCCCGCGCCGAGGGGGTGGTGTTCCTGCTCTGGGGAGGCTTCGCCCGGAAGAAGAGCAAGATGATCGACGTGGACCGGCACCGCGTGATCGAGTGCGCGCACCCCAGCTCGGGCGGGTGGCAATTGGGGCGTGGCGCAAGTGGGGGGTGCAGAGAACGGCCCTAACGGGGCCCGTGTCTCTCTCCCCCCATCGGGGCCACCCTCCACTGCCACCCGCCCGACCAGCCCCCTGAGTGTCACGAAGTGGCGCGGGTGCCGGGCCTTCTCCGCGTGCAACGCGGCGCTCCGCGAGCTCGGCCGCGGCGAGATCGACTGGTCGCTGCCGTGAGCCGCCCGCGGCGCCGGCCCGCGCAGGCCCGCGCGGGAGCGGCCCCGCGCGGTCGGCCCGGGGGGGGGGGGGGCGGGCGGGCTCCGGCCGCGCCCGGCGCCCGGGGGCTCTGGAGCGGCGCGGCCAGGGGGCATGCCCCCGGGGGCTGGCCGCGCCCTGGCTGGTCTTGCAGGGGAGGGCCCCGGTGGCACATCGTGGGAGCCCCGTGCGTCCTCGAGTCGTTCTCGA